GGGGAGGCAATTGTTCCCCTCGAAATGTTTATTTGCTTATTCGTACAACTTGGGCATATCACTTACGCCTTTTTCTGTTGTCTTACTATTTGCACGATCCGATTGTTCAGATATTCATATATATAGAGTAGCCTCTATTTCAGATTTGACGATATAACTTGCTCAATCTCTCAACCCCCCACCAACAACAAAAAAATTAATTAAATATATATGTTAAACAAAAAAACTAACTTATGTAACAGTTAGCCCACCAAAAATAGATATATAAATGAATTTTGCCTTTTTCGTTCTTATCTGCAGAAACTTGTTTTTTGTACTGTAGACTTGTTCTATTTTCAAAAAGGAGCGGACTGACCAATTTGTTTTCCCCGTTTTCCCTGTCTACAGAAGCAGCTCATGCTCGGCCTGGACAAATTGTGCCACTTCTTCCCCGGTTCATTGAGGCCTAAGTGTGAGAACTTGGTCCAACAACGCGGGTCCGATCTGGTCCAGCTGCTGCAGCATATTCCTAAAGACCTTCTGTGCACCCTCGTCTGCCGCTCGAACAACGCTGAAACTAGATCTAGAGGTACCTCTGTGGCGTTCCAATAACTGTTGAGAATAATCTTATGAAATGTCCTCATCAAATGAATTTTTAAAAATCTTAATAAAACATAAAGCGTTAAAAGGTTTTTTCCCATTACTTTTCACTATAAACCCACTCCACATCATCACTTTTTTATGTTTGTTCTTTTTAGCACAATGAAAATAGTGTGATAGTGTGCGGTTGCGAGCTCCGAAAGATTTCTTACTAAAAAAACACGTCTGATTTTGTAGCGGTGAAACCTGTAGGCGCTTAAATGACCAAAATTGTGTCGATAGTGCCGTGAAACATCTACCCAATCAGCCATTTAGACCTATATTTAAAAAGTCAAGTCTTTCATAACTCTGGGGTGTTCCAATAACTGTTTAGAATATTCGTTTCTACTCTGGATCTGGAGTTAATTCTGAGGGTTTTTATTCCATTCACTCGTTCATTTTAGGCCTATTTATTTTATCACGTCTAAGACTGCATCCCACTCAAGTCGAGGCAACTGTAGTGAAACGTCAACTCAATCGAACCATGAAAGTATCTGTAAAAAAACACCTGTCTTATATTTCAATAAAAGTATAAAGGCACGATGTCCGTTATTTAACTGAGGAAGACGGGTACGTTTTCAGATAAGTGGAAAAACTTTAAATATTTGCAATTCATTTACTATGAAATGGACAGGGTAAATATTTTCAAAAATACCATTAATTAGGATTAGAATGGCGACGTCACTCGGTTGGAGTATCGGATTACATATGTGTGCATATCAAATATCATGGACAAAATAATGTACTTATTTTACTAGGGTTACATTACATTTATACTTTTAGGGCACACGGCCAGCCTCTGTTGCAATGGTTTGGTCTTTCACCTTTGCATTAAAGGAAATGGGAGTTCAGTTCCCGTATTTTCATATTTCAATTCTCACTTTACAAGCGATTCGGGTGGTGTTCTTTTTAAGCTCTATCAAAATATAGACTTAAGTATGTTGGTTGTGATGGTGCTTGTATTTCTTTTTACTGGCAAAGAACCATCGGAACAAATTACTTGTGGGTGCTCTGGTGTGGCTCGCTCCTTATCAAACGTTTGTCGCCTATTGTCCCTTCATTTTTGTTCACAATCATGAAAAGACCAATGCATTTTTTGGAACTCCTGAATAGACATAAAGGTCTTGAACATCTAGCTGTCACTGGCAAAATTGAAGGCAAACGAGCAAGGGGTAGGCCTAGAGCAACCTACTAAGGGAACCTAAAAAATGGGAAACGGGGAGAGATCGGGGAAGCGTAGCTTTAAGCGCAGAAGAATGAATGTAGAACCATGATCTCCGATGTCTGTCTCAGATCTGGCACTGGATGATGAATCGGTTTCTAAGGTCGAGCCAAAAAAATTAAAATGGTTCAAAGAACACTACAAAGTAAGTAAACTTCCCTTTGGGGGAAATCGGATAAAGGTCTACTTGAGGCCTCCATTCTGAAAATGCTTGACCTGCTACATCTAGTTCTCCATTGTAGTATTAGGAAGGAAGCCCTCTACTAGACATTCATCGTGGAGAGCTTAATTTAAAGTATGCCATAGAAACTATTACCTTCAGCATTTTTAACTTTGAACATAACCTAAGCCTTGAATATAACCGTATCACATTGGTTTTCACCTTTTGTTTGACAGTGCCCGAGGAGGCAGAGCAAGAGCAAGGACCAGTGCCCGAAGAGGCACGGAGAGGACTACAAGCGTGTTTCTTGTGCAAGGTCGCTGTGAAAACTCTGGATGTGGTTCTGGATAAACTGTTGGAAGACGATGTCCCAGAGGTTGGCTTTTCGTATAAAACTACATATAATTTTTTTAAATTATAGGATTCTAAACTCCCTTTCAGCAATGTCTTGTCATTAGACAGTACCTCTGAATTTAACGTTCCCAACTTGGAATTCATAGCATAGTGCCTTTCCCAAGGACGACTTCGGATTTTGCAAGAATTAACACCAAGAAACTTACGCATGCCACCTTGTGAAACGTTCTTTTACTACGTTCTTTTACTTGCTCTTTCGTACAGTGTAAGCACACGCCTTTCTCTTTGTGTTTGTAGGCTTTGCTTCGATTTGTTATTTAAACGGGAGTAGCCTAGATGTCTTACGTTTTTGACTCGCTTATAGCATAATACATTTTACGTAGATTTTTAAAAAGTAAAGCGCCATAAATATATTGCCTCATTTATTCTTGTACTTTAGAAATTTTTTGTTCTGAGATTTGACAAATTCATTTTACCTATCAACAGGAAAAAATTGCTGATGCTCTGTCCAATGGTTGCCGCAAAATTCCAAAATTCTTGAGACCTACATGTAGGAAGATTGCCAGACCAGAAAATGTGGGCCTGCTGCTGAGTCTTCCTTCAAAAGCTGTGTGCCGCAAAATCCGCCTCTGTCGTTTCTAGAGGTAAATCTGCGGGACATTTTAGTTAACTCTTTGGGTTTTTTAATGGTCACACTTCTATCGTTCACATTTACTTCATTTTAAATATGCTGGCGATTAAAAGAATACTCAGCTGGTTACAAGCTAAGTAAAACTAAGTACTCAAAAGCAGACAGGCCGATAGCATCAGACTTTTTCCTTGGCGCTTAGCGAAATTAAAGAAGTGTAAAGTATCTACCCAACCGATCAGCTTCTGAAGGCCCTATGATACCTAGGCTCACGTGTGTGTGGAGGGAGGGGGCACGTAATCTGATAGAAATGAAAAATTTAGTATGCGTATTTCGAACTTTCTGATACCATTTTCCCTGATGCAGAGAACAGTTACCTTAAACTGAGAAAGGTCGATCCTTACAATTTAGTTTTTAAAGGGAGGGGCTGGTTTATAAGTCTCGGTAACTTTTACTAGGACCTTTCAGATAAAGCCTTGTAGCATGGAAGTAAAACTGGAAAACATCTCTAAAATGTGACATTATTTTTTTAAAGTCTACAGTCACCACGGTAACGGCAGGAATATTGAAAATACAGCTTTCATGAAAGTACAAAGGATTTTTTAAATTTACCAACTAAATTTGGTACATTGATGGAATACAATTTTGAACAATTGGGATTTCGGATATCTTGAATAGGAAAAGTTAGAGATGGATAACTGACCTACCCCTTCATGCCTGTGAATTCGATTACATAATCATACATGATGTAACTCGTTTATGAAAGCATTGATTTGATTTTCCACCTGTAGTTAGGTTATGGTGTAAATTACAAGTAGATGAGAAACTATGAAATTGAAGATTTGTGAAAAATTGACATTTTGTTACATATTGAGCAAAAAAGTTTAGGACAGAAAATCGTAAAGATGATGGTAACACAGCGTAAGCATTTTTTTAGATTTACAAATGGTTGAAGTATTATGATTTTAAGTCTTAAATACCGTAAATTGACCCAAAATCGTCAATTTAAACAACCCCCCCCCTCCTTTAAAACTTGGTTAATTTTCTTAAAATATATCCATTTATCTGGGAATTTCAAATTCCAATAAGTTTAATCGCTATAATATACACATTTTAGACTGGACATCGGCAGATTCATTTCCTTTTACAGCTCTATCGACTGCCAATCAAAAATGCATCGCCCAAAAGATCCTCCACTTTCCACTCTTTGGATTTTTCAATACGACAGTCCAAGACACGGAGAGGAAGCTCCTTTTTGCGTGGCTTGCAACACAAATTTCAGTTCGTCACATCCTAACGGAATGTGTCGAATTTAATGATGTTCGTTAGAAATATTTTAAATGCAAAAATATCAAAACCCTTTTTGACATTGTAGACCTTAAACGAATTTTAAGTTGTTATGTAAAAGAAATAGGACTTTATATTTTAATAGAATATAAAAATATATAGTTATCGTTATCGGTGTATATATACTTACGCTGAAATTAATAATTGTATATTATACAAATGTAAATAAGTCTTTACCACATTTACAAAAATGTTCATAAATGTCTGTCCGTCCTTTTAGTATAATGAGAATAGTGTGACCGTGTGCGGTTGCGAGCTCCGAAAGACTCTTACTAAAACACGTCTGATTTTGTTGCAGTGAAACCTGTTGGCGCTTAAATGACCAAAATTGGGTCGATAGTGCCATAAAACATTTAACATCCAATCAGTCCAAGACAACTATATTTGATGTCCAAGACCAATTGTCGGTAATGGACGTTCGTTTTGTAAAGTTTGACTGCACTTGCAGAGTAAAGACACACATAAATTATCGAAATGAACAAAACGACTTGTCCTTGTTTCATTGAACCCTACTTTGACATCCACTCAACGTATGGTACAGGAACATTCTGGGAGCCCCCTGCTGTGTGAGTGAGCTGGGACCAGGTGTCTACTGTTGTGGCAGGGATTGTCTCCACGGGCTTCGGTTGTGGCAGGGAGGTTGTCTCGGCTGTCTCCACTCGGGTCATCAAGTACACTCACTAGATGGAGCAGGTCATCGGGGACGATTGAAAAGAGAACTACCTACCGGCTTAATGAGAGAAACTAAATCTGTAGTTTAGTTATGGACGGGGGGTGGGGGTGAATGCTGAGCTTTTTAAAGGACTAAAAAAGACATTGTAACGCAACCTACCATGGCTTTTGTTTTCGTCCAATGGTGCCCCGCTTCTTGCTACGTGTCTCTAGTCTCTTTGTTTATCGCTATTGGATTTTACATTTTCAATGTACCCTTATTTCTCTTTACCTATTTCGTTCAGCATTTCGGTTGACATGTCTGTTTGTGTGACTAAGGAACTTGTACAAGACCCGGTACAAAAAGAAATTGTTTGCTAATTGTTTTATCTTGTTACAGAACACTGAATAAATCGGATGAATTTGAAAACGGTTTTTGAGTAAATATCTACATTACCGTTTGTTTTGGTGTTTTTTGGTGTCTTTTTTCGTTCTGTGTTGTGCATTCCCGTTAAGACGATACATCAAGTGTCTTAAATGTCAAATTTACAATAGAAATTGAACCGGTTGGGTCATAAGTCATTAAAAAAAAACACCTTGTTATTCCTGTCGTGTCCAAAGCTCGTCTTTTTCCTTTCTTGCTTCAACTCAAAAACAACGGATCGCTCAGGAAATCTCATTACTAATGACTGAGAGAAGAGTAAAAAACTACACAAAAATACAAGACTTTAGACCAGTTAACCCAACTAAAATGCAGAGGTCAAGGAAGCTTGGATCGATATGTTCAGAAATGAATATATATTAGATCTACAGGAAATGGGTAAAGCCCCCCACTCACTACGCAGTTCCTGATCTTAAGATAGTTTGAAGATGATCTCAAGGTGAACTG